TTTTTCAGGCGCGTTTTTTACGAAATTACTTTTGGTCGGATACCGGTAAGACACCTCTCTTGTCTTACCGGAATCCGACCAAAAGTAATTTCGTAAAAAATCGCGTCAGACGGTCCAGGAAGGCGAAAAAACACCACACATGAGTCGATTAACGTTTCACTTAACTTTATTGGGATATCCAGACCAAGATGTAATTTAGATATGCAATTTTCAGAACTTTATTCATAACCCTCATAGATTTTGTTCGTTTCATATAAACAATGATTAACCACGAACACATAGGGTGGTCCGCCTGTGGTTTTATATTCTTCGTTGCTCATTCTTGTTTTGTTTGTTGCTCTTTCAGAGGTCAAACCGCCCTTCATAAAGCCGCCCTTTACGAACGACGCACAATATGCTCGCTTTTAGTTCAGGCCGGCGCTTCACTCACGAGAACAGACTACGATGTGAGTTGCCGATTTAAACTAACTCCCTGCACAACTCACAGTGAGACTAATCAGTATCTTATATCTCATCAGTTTTTAGGGATATTTTGACTCGTTAATTTAATGCGATGTGGAAATTGTCTCCCTCAGAATGATACCTTTTTATGTTACTACAAAAACACTGAAGCTGCAGTAAAGAATGAAAATAATGCTAGGATGATTAAGGCTGGATGGATAAAGGCAAATAACAAATATACTGGATGTGAAAAATTTGGGCTGAGTCTTTCAAGATGTATAGACCAGGTTTTCAGTTAAAATTTTTTATCCTTCAGTTTGAATTTGACCAATATCAAACTCCGACAAGCGAAATTATCGTCTTAAAAAACTCTTAATCTCAACAACCGAACCCCGAAGGACTGATTAAGAGACGATTTGATTTCTTCCCCATCAGGGCAATACCCCAAGAATTCAAGCTTTGAAAGCACAAGACAAGGAACTTGCCAAATATCTTGAAAGTAAGTACGCTACCTCTGTGTTTTAGTTAGACCGCGACATTTTATATCCAAAAAGAGACTGCGTCAACAACCTAAGAGTAGAAGGTGACAAGAGAGGGCAAAGACTAGGACATGTTATGTGACCCGTGGCCACAGTTGGCACCGTTTGGTAGCTAGTCAGACTCCATTTCCAGGGTTCCAGCTAAGTTTTAAAGGCAAAGTGTCCAAAGGGAATTCCAGCCTCGCCAAATTATCAGGCCCAGAATGTTCGATAACGCTATCCACCGATAGATCCCTGTCCAGTGGATAGCGCGCTTTGTGTTATTAACGCTTATCCACTGGATGGTGATTTATCCAGTGGATAGCATTATGCACCTTTCAAACAACCCGGGCCAATAGTTTTCTAGCAAATCCTCGGGTCGTGTAGCGGAACTTGTTAGGTTTTTTTTGTCTTAAGACACCCACTATTTTGAGCATTGCATTTTCCTTGGGAAAACATTTTAGGAAAATACGTTTTTCGGCACATGCAACTTCCTACTCCGTTAGAGCTCGCCACTCGTTCACTTGATCGTTTGATGCACATCCTGGTACCAGTTAAAAAAGCATAGTCTGGCCCCAAATTCTTCGTCACTTTAACTGGTTTTATCTTGCCTTATTTCTGAAATAACAGTGCAACGATTCACTTTCATTTCTTTCCTTACAGCGCAAGAGCACCTTCAAATCATAGCAGCAGAGGATTACGAAACTGCAGTGTAAAAAGAGAAATTCAGCGGTTCACAGTGTTATTTTAGATGTCGTCATATAACAAGGAACGAATGTAACGTGTATAAAAGATAATCTAGATAGCAATAGTAGCTCGTTATTTTTAAAATAATAGCTTATTAGAAAATTTCAAACGATGTGGTATACATCAATTTGTAGATGATAATCATAGAAATTTAAATACTCTTTAAGATAATTTAAAATGAATTGGCACGAATATGTGCTAAAGAGATCTAATTAATTTACTCCTGTTATAAGTAATAATTGGCTGAATTCAAACCGCATTTGATGGCCATTGGAGGCAACTATGTCTTCGTTTTTAATTGATATCATTTCATTTTTGCTCTTACTCCCCCCCCCCTATTTTTTCGTTGCGGTGTTGCAGCGTTTCCAAGGCAATTATTTTCTATTTTGTTGAAAGAATTAGATTTCTTTCCTAATGATATTATTTTTCAGGCGAAGAACAAGGGGCAGTTTCCATGCAAACAAAACAATCCGGTTTTAATTTCCGGACATTTCCAGCTGTGAATGGAATAGCTTTTCCAAAATGCCCAAAGAGAGGACAACCTCGCGAGCTATACACAAATTTTCGAAAATTTCTATTGTTTTTTTTTTTTTTTTAGAATTTCCTTTCCATTGGAATTTTGTAATTTTGAGCGAATTGGTTCGCATTTCGGAAATTGAACAATGGAATTTTTCGTCGAATGGAAAGTGCTCAAGAAAAACTGATCTGTTGGCATGTTGTAATGATGAAGCATAACCTGTTCAAAGCCCTTCTTTCATGAGTATAGAGGAAATCGATATTTATAAACTGTACAAGGAAGGAAAAAAAAAGGAAAATGAAAAGCAAAAATATCAGTTGATGCTTGTTATGAAAATCAAGTTGGCAAACGTGTGAATGCGAGTGTCGCTGTGTTTGTTCTTATGTTTTGTATTTTGTTTCGAATAAAAGCTCAATCTTGGAGGCTATATCACTAGTCACTAGTGTTTGATTTTCTGCCTGTTAGGTCACAACAATCTCATGTGTAGGTGCTATTGGGATACGAATCGTTATGAGAGTGCGTGAAGGCCTGTATCCATTGCGCTCTAGAAGTGGCAGAAGATGCTAGCACTACTCCTATTTTTGTTGAATAGTGCCAATTATCATTCGATGCAGTATTTTCCTCGTTTTCATTGGTCGAGAACCCACCACGTGACCTGCAAATAACTGCCTATAATAGTAATACGGTGCAAATGCGTTTTGTTGCAAATAACATTCTGTTCATGCGTAATCAGTGTAACCACGCTCTTGTGGGGAAATCGCTTTGCTGAGCTGTCAGAGAGTGATTTAAATATGAAAACAAACTTGATGATCGAACGATGATACAATTATTATATCTCAAAATATCGTGATTTGTCAGTGTCTCTCAGATCAATTATTTGCCTCGGCCTTCGGCTTCGGCAAATAATTGATATCGCCACTGACAAATCACGATATTTGGCTCAACATCGTCCAATAATTGTTAACAGTTCATAAATTATGCTCTTAGATTCCAAAATCATGTTCACAAAATCACAGCGTTTCTGTCTATATACCAGCGAAAAGATAAGAAGTAATTAATTACAAAGTTTAGCTCGTTTTTGGGATGTATTTTAAAAAAACAAACAAACAAACAAACAAATAGGACTTATCATTATTCCAATTTCGTGTTATGACCGTATAGCAAAGGCACTAAAGAAGCAGTAATGAGATTTTTATCTTTAGAACTTCAAAAACTGCGAATGCACTTCATTAAATATGCTGGAGCAGTGCTTTTTTAACCAATGAAGCTGCTAGCTCGGATTATGCCAAAAATGGGCACAATTGGGCAAGCGGTATTAAGTGTTTGACAC